ATCTCTATAACTGATTAGAGACAAACCAGTCAAAATGTTTAGTCATGCTGTCAACATGAAAGTATATAATGGAAATATTTTAATTAAAATTGATCAATTGATGCTTACTATAATTTCTCTATATCTGGAAACTTTGAAAAAAAATATGAAGCTATATATGTTACAGTAAAAATCTACACAGTATTTTATGTATAGTTAAGTTAGAAAGAAAGCAGCCAATTATACATCATATATTGTGTTGTCAATCCTGCTGGTCTGGCCAGAATATTTTCATCTACATCACATCTGATATTCTTGCTTGCAATACATTTAGGGAGAAAAATCTTGCATGTTTGATCCACCTTCTACAAGAATCTGCAGCAATGTCAGCACAGGCAGCATCCACTGCATATCTGATATTCTCTCTTGCAATAAAACTTTCAATCATCCAAAAAATGTTACAGCCAGCGTGGCGTAGGTGGGAAAAAGGTGACGATCTGCTGATGGCCCCAAGACAAAGGAGGCTTATTAAGAAAACTAACAACACAGGGGAAAGTACAAAATAAGGGACCACAAGGGGTCAGAACAAAATGGGAGAAATAAAAACTTAAAAAATCCCCACAAAGCTCTTTTATTGGAGGCCTGAGCAACAGAACAAAACAACAAACACACAGTAACAAAACACAAGCTCAGACTGCCACAAACGAACAAACACAATGACTCCAAGGTCCTAGGTCCTTATATCTACAACTAACAAGACGTGACGCAAGACAAGTGGGAACTACAACTTAATTAATCAATCAACAACGGCATGGAACAACAAGCAGCAGGTAGAGTAAATTACAAATAACAAGCACAAAATCTAAGAAACCTTAAACACTGAGGACCAACACTATAGGAACATAAATACACGAACAAAATTAAACCAGGGAGCAAACACAATAGACTATAACTAGAATAAACACTTAATTAACCAGGAGTACATAAAATAACGAATGTTAAACAACAAAAAAACTAGCTGAAGCTGTGCTCTGGTCAGCCTTGAACCCACAAGAAGCAAAGGAGGGTCAAAGACTTAGCTCATTAAGCCACACAGCAACCTAGGGAGCAGCTAAACACACAAGGGACTAAGGGGCTATGAAACATAAGAGAGCACAGGAAGACCAGCAACACCTGCTGGCCAAATGGGGACAAGATACATGGGACAGAACCAGATGGGCACCGATCCTGACTATTTTTGAACTATTTCCATTATACTTCACTATTAAAGCAATGATTCTGATAACGGCATTAACATTTTTGCATGTGATGACTTACACTTGGCTAATTCAAAGTGAATATACCTATAAGAACCAAAACTAAATCAATTGCAAATGAATACAAATCATTGCTCCATAAGATAGTGTTACGTGCCGAAAGGAAAGTACATGCCGTAAGGGAGATACGTGCCGTAAGTTCAGGAGGATGCCCTACAGGTTCTTCGGACGTCCTGCCACTCGCCTATTCGTCAGTCGCTCCTTCGACTCCGCCTTCTGGACCTGGCCCCGCCTCCCTTGCCTTCGGAGCAGTTTCCGGTTCATCGACAGAAGGGGCTGCCGCTTCGTCATTTCGGCTGCCAGTTGCTCACTTTTCGCCTGTTAGCTTGCTCTTCCTTCGCTTTGCTTTTGTATGACTGCTGTTGTTATTGGTTTCCGATTTTCGCCTCGCCTTTATTGTACCTTCGCCCTGGTTTTGACTGCCTGTTTGGTTTTGAACTTTCGCTTGTACTACGACTTCGCCTCTTTGATCTCACCTTTGGATACTGTCGCTTCGGCTGTGTCTGCCTTTTTTGTTTCTTCGTAAATGTGGGGATTACTGTTTGTTTGGTTAGGGAGTTAGGCTTAGGCATTGTTGTTTCGTTTTCCCCTTTTTTGTGTTCACTTAGGATTAGCTTAGCTTGGGGTTGTATTCGGTAGATGTGTTTTTGTTTGTTTCTTTGGCCTTTGTCACTCCTGACGGTTACACCTAGCGTTTGTAAAGTGTCTGTGAAACTATAAAAAGACCCCCCTTGTGTCCCGTGTTCCATTCTCCTAGCTCTGGTTGTCCTGTCCTTCCCAATCCCTCCTTCCTTTTCACTTTGTTAGGCTTCAACCCTAGACTGGAGTGTAACAACAGGTAGACTCAAAAGAACAGTTTTGTCAGAGATGAGGAGATGAGTGGCAGGAGTGCTGCTAGACATTTTGTGGCCCATGAAAGCATATCATATTGGGCTCACACTCTAGACCAATCCAATTATGTTCCAAATTTCTTTGGGCCCCTGTCCTAAAGCAGAGAGTTAGTAATCTTTGTAACATCATGTTTATTAGCTACATCAGTCTCCTAATGCATTAATATACACTGCGCTCTCTGCTAGTCTAGTCAAGGCCTGGACTGAGCCCCACGTGGCTCCTCACTGTGTTCCATGAGGTCCTAACAACAACTTTCCTACATAAGAGTTGTGATCTGCACAGGCTTAGGAGTCATGGCTGACTGAAAGCAAATAAGAAAAATCACTGTCTCCTCTTGAAACAGATTTTTCCACAGGCACAAACTCTGTGCCAGCAAGCAGAGTTGCTGCCCCTAGTGAAGCTACAGGAGGGAAACGCTGAAAGGGCAACTCAGGGAATTATCCAGGCAGGAGTGGATACTGGCTCCCTTTGACAATGTTGGTTGATTGTAGGATGGTTTACAGAATAGAATAAGCATCGATGGTATCTTTCCCCATTTTGAGCAGCTTCTAGGTTGCGTGGCTGCTGGCAGGTTGAAGTAACTCTCTCACACGGTACATTCTAGAACCCCTGGGCTGCCGCATGTTGCAACAATCTGGCTACATGCAAAAAAGGGAAGGGGGACCCCCTCCCACCATTCAGAGATGTGTGTGCTGTACAGTATCTTGGCACAGAACAGACCAAAGGTGTTAACCACAGGAAGGTAGAGTATGCAAGAAACCAGCCTACACCCACCACCATAAATCATTCACGGCCATTTCGCGAGTGCTTTGTAGATGCAGCGCGGCCATTGGAACAGAACAGAGTCTGGATGGAAATAGTACTCTTTTCTGTTAGTACTTGTCCTGGAGATTTTGAGTTTGTCGGGAGACATTTGTAATAGGACTGTAGCCTCCTGCATGTATTCTCCACAAGTACAATCCCATACACCAGTTCAGCATCACCCCGTAGACTTCGCCATATCTCTGGGCATATGGGACTCATAGCCTGGAGCTGACATGCAGGCTTGTCCTGGTTTGGTACCCTGGCAGATCTCCATGGTGAGCAGAGCAGAGACCTGTTTCCATTCTGCTTGTTGGCCCAGCTGACTGCATGCAAAGTTACATTTTATTACATTAACTTACAACTTTTCTCATACAAATTCTTTTATATTCAAATTTAGTTTGAACTTTATTGTAGTTAATTTATAATTTTAGTTGTTTTTTTTATTGCACTTTAGCTATTAACTGAAAATACATTTAAATAAATTATTTAAAAATAACATTTTAAAACCAATTTCTTCATTTTTTTGCGAAATTTTATTTATTTCAGCAGTGGCATGGTGATGTGATTAGTATGGTTGCCTCAGACATCTGGAGACTGGGTTTTGAGTTTGTGTCCTGGCTATACATATGGGGAGTTTGCATGTTCTCCCCTTGTCATTGTGGGGTTTCCTCCAGGTTCTCTGGTTTGCCCCTACAGTCTAAAAACATGAATGGTGGGTGTGCCTTGTGATAGATTATTCCCTGCCTTTCACTTGTTTTGGGATAGGGTCTGGACCCCCAAGATCCAACATAGAACAAGTGGGTATAGAAAATTAATAATTTACATTTACAAGAGTGGGATGACCTAAGGTTAAATATATTATTGACGTTACTAGTGGTCCCACAACTGCCCTAAGAAGATGATAAATTTCTTTTGGACGTTCACCATGTTATTGGAACCCTTATTACATCATACACAAAGGACATAATTAGGAAATGCTGAGAATAGAACAGCATAAAAGTGAGGAGTGTTTGTGGTTAGAGATGAGGGTCACTCAGTATTTGGAATTTTAGGTTATAGGCTTTGCTCAAGAGCTGCACACCACACAATTTCTTTGGAGAAAGACCAATATTAAAATAAGATCTAAGCTCTAGTAATATTATTGGAAGTAGGACCCTTTCAGTCACACTTATTGTAGAATGTTGGTAATGATTAAATATAGAATCAGTGACAGGAAAATGATGGGAATTTAAGACAAACTGAAGCAGTGAGTGTTTAATTGAATTATGCCTGTAGAGGCATGACGTATTTAATTGAATTTTATGGGCATAACTGTCTAGGCTATTCCAAGGTCTCCTCGCGGCTGTTGTTGTCTGGCACCAGTATCTCAAACCTGGGTGCACAATCTGAAAAACTTCAGTGAAAAATAACTGTCAAGAGACATGAAAAACACATGGCTCAGCCCCAAGGCGCGCAACACGACAGCTCCGGACAATTAAAGTACTGCATTTGGCTTCAGAAACATTGTAGAATGTTATGTTCATACATTTAAGTAGCACAAGGTATCTGGCTGCTAACTAGCTCGCGTCAGTTTCAGAACTAGTAACTATTAATCAACTATTAAAACTAGTATAAATAACTAATGTTACGGAATGTCCAAAGGTAACCAAAGGTATTTCTTCATTTTTTTCACTCAGTCTTTTGCGTAGTCCAATTTTTAGATGCAGTAATGCCCTTTTGGTTGCTGTTCTTTTCCCAAAAAAACATAGATAATATGCTAATGCCCTATATTATAGGGCACAACTACCTACAGATATACTCCTTGCATGCATGACACGCAATACCTACGGCTATTACGGTACTGCGGTCACGAAGTCACATGACACACTGATAGTCATGTGTCTATGCGGCTACAAATTATCACAATTCCGATTGGAGCAGTGTTTGTCTCGGTATTATGCTAAGATTCGTTTTATTCGCTAGTTTTTCGGTCCGCCGTCTCGTCCGCCGTGCTCATTGGATGGTGTCACTGCGAGGCGGGGCGTGTACCCACAATGCTCCGTGCTCTTATGTCAGGTGACCTGCCGAAAGGGAGACAGATGATGTCGTCTGTGAATACTAGGGAAATGAATAAGTCCGTAATGGTGTCGCTGTTTGTTTACGCCGTTTTAATCACAGGTAAGGAAAGCAAGTATACGCTGCCTCGTTTAGATGTCATAGCAATAAACTGTCTCGTAGGTAGCGAACGTCGGTATTATGCTGGATGTGACCGTCTCCTACTGTGACGAGACGTCGGGAACGTCTCAGTGGCGGACACGCTGAGCCGCTCGTTACTGACCGATGTTTTGTGACTTGATGTCTTGTAACTACCCCTGTATACATGTTCTATGTTACCAGTGACAGTAAAGTTTACTGACGGATACTTAAGTGCCGTGTCGTCCTCGCCGCCATAGCTTCATTGCGAATTCACCTCGTCATATGGCCGAGTACAAATCATTACTTAAACTAGCTTCCCCTTTCTATTCCAGACCGATTAAAATATCCTTTGTATCCTTATGACATCTGTAGTCACCCAGCTTCTGCTTTTCCAGTCATAAGCGACCAGTTGTGGAAAATGTTTTTTGAATATCAAGTATTACTTCCTTTTTTCACGTTTATATAATTTGGTTGAAATGTACGGGCAAGTGATTTCTTTTAGAGATGTGTATGATTGGAATTGATCTGCACACAGAAAATTGAGAAGTGAAGTGAAATTGTCATTGAGGACAAATTACTTATGTTCTTTATACTATGGCACGCAGTTATGAAAGGGAAATCTAAGAATGGTTAATTACTTTAAAAATGTCCTGCCATGTCCCCATTAAGATCTGTATTTGTGTTTTTCTCCAGGCGTTTTTGGTGACCGCCTTACGGTCCTTCATGCTCCACAGTATGTGACGTTCCGAGAAGGACAGTGGCCAATTTCTGGGGAGAAGATACCAGACCTTGTGTCTCTTACCATGGGGTTTTCTGTGCAGGAGGTAAAGGATTCAGTTTTGCAGTAATAAGTATTTGTTTTCAGAAATCTATATGATGCTGCGCAGTGAATGATGTGCCTGTATGTTTGTGTGTGGGGGGGATCTTCCAGGAGCTGGGATGGCCGGGCCTGCAGGTTGGCCCCCTGTTTCAGCGTCCGCGGGCTGCTGCTCTGCTGCTGGTGAGGGGGGTGGACAGCTTGCAGTTTCCCCAGAGCGCTGTGTCCTACCCACTGGAAAATGTGAGCAATGTGTTTTTTTCCCTGCATTTTAACACCCTTATGAATAGTTTGCTGTAGAGTTGAGAACATTGCCTTTAACATACTGTTGTCAGTTTTATGTTTACTTGCTTATTTCTGTTCATTTGTTAAAAGGCAGAAAATTGTATTGTATGGAAAGTATAAAAATGAAAATTGAGACATTATTGAATGGTTTTAGGACTGAGACCACATAGCGATTTATTGATAGTACATGTGACGTTGATAAGTCATCATTTTAGATAATCAACAGCCATAAGTGGTCCGTGTAGCAAGCAGGTATCCAAAAACTCCAGTCCTGGATTTAATAAACAACCACATTGTGAATAATGTGGGGAATAATATACAATGGCAATTTACAAAATCCGTGTATTAGGAGCCAAACTTTCCGAAATCGTCTTCTCCTTAGATGTGGTCTGATACTGTGTCCTCGTCTATCACATCACCTCATCCATCATCACATGGGTCCCTCTCCCACTGCTCAGGCACTGGTAGAAGTCTGAGCACATTCCCTGCAGCTGCCCCTGCGTTTAATTTGTCAGCCTTGTTTTGGCCATTTTTGTTGTTGCATTCGGTGCATATAATTTCCTTAAATTCCTCATATCCTGGCAGCACAAGCTTTTGCTCTGCTGGGGGTGAAGAATTGTACCCTCACATTTGCCATTTCGGAGAGGCAATGACAGACTTGCTGATCATGGCTATATAGCTGGAGTGGCGATGGACCACTGGAGTGTACAATTATCTTGGGTGATTAATCCAGCTTTTCTAATCCAATTCTCTCATGGCTTTGAAGATGCAACCCCCCCCCCCCTTTCATAGCTCAGTGTTTTGTTGTCGTTAATAGGAATTTGTTGCTCCTCTGGAACAAATGGAAACTGACTTAGAATGTTAAAATTGAATTGTGGAAGTGTGTATGGAATATTTTAAATAATTATACGTATTGATAATATTCCCACAACTTTGATTTTTCTTGCCATAATAACTAGTAGTTATTTTCCTTTCATCATATCAACTCACCATTATAATAGCCTTTTTAAGTTTAAGTTTAGAGTGACTTAAATTAGCACCAATGAAACACAGTTTGACTGAAGTCAAGTGAGGCAGGTGGGAGCAGAAAGTAAACCAAACCGTGATGGACTTTCACACAAGCCTTAGATCAGGCTTAAGTTAACGTTGTGGGTAAATCAGGCGTGAATAAACAGAGACGGAAATGACAAAGGCTTCAGTAAGGATGCTTCCCATTTAACACATTTCTGGTTTCCTCTGCAGCCTGTGCCCTTCACCCTGGACAGTGTTTCCAACACAGTGCACTCCCTGTTTGCGGACGACACGCCTGTGGTACTGCAGCTGGCTCCCAGTGAAGAGGTAGGACACGTGTGGCCGTCTGTCATTTCATTTACTGGTTAAGCATGCGAAACATGATCAAAACTAGAGCCTACTTAATTCTCATGCTCACTCACGTATGTGCAAATATGCAGAAACAGCCAAAATGCTTCCTGATGTCTTGTGATTTCCTTCTGCTTTTCTCCAAAGAGGCTGTATATGGTGGGCAAAGCCAACCTAGTATTTGAAGACCTTCCTGTGACCTTGCAGCAGATTAAGGGTCGTCTCTCCCAAGAGGGCTCCATCCTCACCTCCCTGCCCCTCAACTCCCTTAGCAGGAACAATGAGGTACAGAAGCTGGGAAGGAGGCTTCTTCCAAATCAGCTGAAAATACCATGACAGCCAATAAAAACAAAAAATAACCGTTGATGCTAGTTTGATATATTGGTAATGATAGGATGGTCTGTGAATTTTTGAGTCAAATCTATACAGAATTTTTCTTCTATGATTCATCTAATGTCCCTGTAAATAATGCTGATCCTGTTGGTTCCGGCCTGCAGGCGGACCTGCTTTTCCTGTCTGAGGTGCAAGTGTTGCATGACATCGCTGCCCTGGTATGTCCAGATCCTGTTGTCCTGCACACCCAACAGCGGACATGTGTACCTTGCCCTATGCGTTACCTTGAGCTTCAGTTCTGGTTGACGGCCGGCAGTAGCTTATCTGACAGCCTGAGCTATGTGAATGCGCATAATCAGTTTATCTGAAAAAATAAAATTCAGCATAAAAGGAATCACTAGTCAACACACTTTTGAAAATAATAATATGAACTGGCTCTCATTTTGTCAGCTGTTGAGGCACAAGCACCTCGCGAAGGACCACTCCCCAGACGTGTACTCCCTGGAGCTGGCTGGACTGGAGGAGATCAGTCGCCGATATGGCCTGGACTCCCCGCAGTACAGGGATGCTGCCAATATCCTGGCCCGTGCTCTGCAGAAGGTAAGAACAGGGGGGTGACACTAAGCACTGAGGCATGGAACCATTCTGGGTAGGTTGGCTGCCGATTCATTTTCCGTGTCGTGCAGTTCGCAGAAGACGTTTCCAGCATCTACGGCGATAATGCAGTGGTAGAAGTGGTGACAGTGAAAAGCTTTGAGGTGCCCCTCACCAGGAAGTCGCGATCGATCCTGCAGTCCGGCCAGATTGTGAGTATGTGGGTGAACCGCGCTGACACTGAGAACCTGGGAGAACCAGAACCCAGCGCTCAAGTGCCATCTGGAGACAATAGTCATTAATTATTTCCTCGTATATGAGTATGAAACTTTGGACATCTTTGGGAAGGTTAATGATATCAATAGGTGAAAGAAACTGGAAACTGGAACATACATTGTTTATTGGTGTACTTGTGGTATAATGGCCGAATCAACTGAAGAAATTGCCTGTTTTACATTATAACCATAAACAAACTGGAAACTCCCCGAGAACTTCACCATCACTGCAGGTCACTGCACACGCACATAACTCACTTTGTGCAGCTGATAATTAATTACAGATCCCCCGACCACCTTGCATCGTACAGTAAGGTGTATTACTTATGTACAGAAAGCTGCTATACTCATTTTCATACCTTTTATCAATTTTGTTCTGCAGAGCAACCCGGGGACCAAGTACAATCTAGCCTACAGTTACAACTTTGAGTACTCTGTGATCTTCAACATTGTGCTGTGGCTCATGATTGGCCTGACGCTGGCAGTCATCGTCATCTCCTACAACCTGTGGAACATGGACCCAGGCTATGACAGCATCATCTACAGAATGACCAATCAGAAGATCCGTCTGGACTAAGCAGTCCTGGCCTCCTTCCCCCTGATTTGTCGTGGTGTGCCCCTCCCCCTTATGTCCCCCTCCCCCATCGAGCAGCCTGGGTTGCCGAGTCCCATTCTCCTCTGATGGTCTTCAGACTTGGCATTAATTTATTTCCAAAATCCAGTGGTGGCTTTGCACAGTTGCTCACATGAATTACAGGAATTTGTTGAATATTTGCCCATATTGATATGAGAAATACCGAAATCTTGCTTATTCCTTCTTTCATATCAATTAGCTTTCCATTCCATTTTAAACTCAAGGCACATGTTGCGTAATGGTGTCGGAGTGCTGTATGTGTGCTGTTTGTCAGAACTCGTTCAGACCGCAGGAACACCTCTCAGCGATTGCCCCTGCGGCCTGGCCTGGCCCTGCGGCCTGGCCCTGCGGCCTGGCCCTGCGGCCTGGCCCTGCGGCCTGGCCCTGCGACATACCCCTTGGTAAATTGCACTGAAGTCCTGCATTTTTAACAAGCTGTTTTGCAGAGGACTGTGTAACGTTACTGATGGCTTCCGTGTTCTGAAGGTTCTCCAGAAGTCTATTGAGGATCATATGAGTTATACCCAAGACCATGGGGTATGTCTTTGGCTACGGCTTCTTAGGGACACAGTGCATTGCAAAGTTCTGTTTACATCAGGCTGCTGGAGATTTGATTGGAGAAAATACCCTGGTGAGTTCATCTTGGGAGTTTGCTGGTGTTATAAGTCTTAATGCTAGTTTGTGTACTGGTTAAATTAATGGATATAAATATATGTATATACTGAGAAGATTATTCATTTATGAAGATATTTTAATGGTTGTCATGATGCATCATAGTGCTTGGTGTGTTTAGACCCCTGACGTTGTGCTGGTACATGGTCTGTAAAGGTTATTTTGAGTGGATGTTCTGTGATTGGTATGCAACATTCCCATTGCCCTTCGTGTTGACATTCTTTTCGTGTTAAAAGGGGTTTAATTTGCTTTTAGTTTCCTGTGATGTAGAAGTAGAACAGAGTGTTAGTGTGTGTCTTTGTGCAGGCGCCCCAGCCGGCTTCAATTTAGAGGATGCATCTTAGGAAATGAAATTGTGAGCTTTTAAATGGATGAAAGTGGCTGCCATTTTCCAAAGGTATGGGAGATGTGTAACCTTGTGAAATGTTCAAATAAAAAAAGGTCCACCTTCAGTCATCTGTTGCTTGACCTTCATCACAACTACAACTGAACACCAACATAAAAATAACTTTTGTAGTGGTAGTTCTCTGTTATGTGCAAATTCTAAAGGTTTGTTTTTTTTCCTGAAACGGACAAAGATGTTTGCAAGTGTAAACAGTGCATTTGCTGCCAGTTGTTCAGACTTATTTCAAATCACATTTTAACTTTGTAGGCCCCAGTTCCTTTAGTTGAACTCTGAAGCAGTTAGGTTTGTACTTTTCACTATAGTTTCAACTATAGTATGAAACTATGAAAAAGAGTAAAGTTACTGAAAAGGTTCTTAATACACAAAGTTTCTAACTGACAAATTTTGAAGGATCTGATGCAAATCTTTCCCTGGAGTAAGGTTTCCTGTATGTCTGAGAGACACAAGCAGCATGGTTTGACAGTTTTCCCAGGAGATAAAACACATAACACAGAAGGAATAGAAGATGATATCCAAGCCTTTGGATTGGAAAACAGAGATGGGGTCCATGGCTTTTGAAGTGTTCTTGAAATTGAAAAGACTGATTATTTTCTATGTTGTAAATAATAATAATAATATTAATCATGATAATTCATTCAGCCCCCCTTACCTTTGCTGGCTGATACTTTGAGACCTCTTGTAAATGGGGAATGAACCCTTGCCCCCCACCACACAAAGAATCTTGTCCACCAATGCAATCATCACCAATATTTCAGTAGGAACCTACTGGTGCTGCTGCTAACTTTGAATACTGATATAGCATAAAATTCTGGCAATAATATTAAAGAAAATATTGCTCAAGAATTGTGAGAAAATTGTGATGTTGATTATGAGTAAAAAAATAATCATTCATGTTGCAAAGTGGATATAAAAGTTGTAGCAACTTTGAATACTCCAGCACATATCCTGGAAAAAAAAAAACTACTTAAGTGCAGTAAAGAAGTATTTGTATTCTGTTACTTCACACCTCTGGTCTGTCAGCCTCAGGGTTTGAATGAATGAATGAATGTTGCACTTATATGGTGGTTTTCAAGACACCCAAAACGCTTTGCAGAACCAATAGGGAGCCGCTTCAACCCCCCCACTGTGCAGCCCCCACCTGGATGATGCGACGGCAGCCTTTCTGCACCAGTACGCTCACCACACAGTAGCTATGGTGGTGAGGGGGCAGGAGAGAATTCACCAGTTATATACAGGGGATGATTAGGAGGCCAGATTTGATAGGGCCACAGTGAGTAATTTTAGCCAGGATATCAGGGTGCCACCCCTACTCTTTCTAAATATGCCCAGGAATCGTTAATAATCTCAGAGAGTCAGGACCTTGGTTTTACATCCGAAGGACGGCACCATTTTTACAACACAGTGTCCCCATCACTGCACCGCACACTGGGATCCACACAGACCACAGGATGGGTTTCCCCGTCAGCCAGTGTCCACATCACTGCACCGCACACTGGGATCCACACAGATGACAGGATGGGCTTCCCTGTCAGCCACAGTGTCCCCATCACTGCACCGCACACTGGGATCCACACAGACCACAGGATGGATCCCTGACAGCCACAGTGTCCACATCACTGCACCGCACACTGGGATCCACACAGACCACAGTGATGGGCTTCCCTGTCAGCCACAGTGTCCACATCATTGCACCGCACACTGGGATCCACACAGACGACAGGATGGGCTTCACTGTCAGCCACAGTGTCCACATCACTGCACTGCACACTGGGATCCACACAGACCACAGAATGGATCCCTGTCAGCCACACCAACACCTCATCCAGCAGCAGCCCTCTTTCCTAGATGATCGACCATCCAAGTACTGACCAGGCCCAAACCTTCTCAGCTTCTGATGGATCACCTAATCGAGGGGTGGGCAATTTTATCCGCAAAGGGCCGGTGTGTCTGTGGGTTTTCGCTGCAACTCCCTAATTAGATTACTAATTAGAGGACTGATTGACTGAAGAGTCCTCACACCTGGGTTTGAACAGCTGACCTAAAGGTTACCCAGAAACCTGCATACACACCGGTCCTTTGCGGATAAGACTGCCCACCCCTGACCTAGTCTGAACCGCAGGTGGTATGGCTGCTTTGAACCAGTGACCTCCTGATTCTGGGCAGAAATCCTTAAAACCCACAGAGTCACACATTACCGAGTGTGGCCAAAAAGTGATTTTATATCTTTATTAAAAGTAAAAAAAATTAAAAGTAAAAAAGGAAGAAAGAAATTGGCTTTACTACTACCATACCACAAACAGCAGACAACCTTTGAACATCGCTTTCATCAAAACTCAGGTATTATTCTGCTCCAAAAGCTGAGTCGGACAGGAGAACGACCACTACGGCCAAGCTGTCTTTGTGTGGAAGGAGAGAGTCGGACTCCACAGAGACAACAGTGCCACCAAAAAGGACATCAGTGACAGACACTGAAGGTGGAGTGGTAGATGCTCAGTACGTATAAGCTGATATCTCCAGAGCTCAGATACGCTTCTGCACAAAAAGGTGACATTATTGTCGCACGTTCACAGTACATGCAGTGGGCGGAAAATTCCCCCCCAAGCGAGCTCAGACCAAAATAAAACATTGTGGTTAAAAGGACATCTCTTCATCTGCTTTGCTCTGTTGTGCTGTGGTTTTCAAATTAAATGTATCAGACTGCTTTATTTTTAAAGTTTCTATTTGATTGTTTAATATCAGTTTTCTCTGTGATTTATCAACAGGACAGAAGGCGAAATCATGACGAGACAGAAGAGCGAAAATGAAATATCAGCGAATGAAGAAAACATGGATCTACGGCATTCGATATCACTCTTTCCAAACCACGAATGCATCTTCTTTAGTAATTGCCGTTTACTGAGACTGGAACTATAAGTAAAAGTAAATGCTTGCTGACATTTCTGTTTCACTGTACTGGAAAACAAAGACAGCAATACATGAAAGACCGAAACAATCACGAAGTCAGCGCACTATAACCACAAATGATAATGAGAACTTCAGTGCACATAAAATATACATGTATCATCTTGGTTTATTTGAAACTTTGTGTCTTTCAATCGTTACAAATCAGCCATATTACTGGTTTTAAATCAGGATTAGTATTTCTTAAAAGCAATGTGTTACACGAGTACTATTGAACAGGATAGGCCTACTGCTTAGAAAATTAAACTACTCTTCAATTTTTAATCGTGGTCAAAATCACAGAAATATCATCATCTTATTTCAAATTTAGAAATAAAAAGTAGATTACAGTTAAGATTTCCTGTTGTTCTTCTAACGCCATGACAAGTCTGCAATTATTAGATTTACGCGCCATATCTGCAAACACTGAAGTGAAAAGTGTGAATAATATTTATCAAAGATGAATGTGTGACAAAAAATAACAGACTTCATTATAGTGGGGCATCGATCAACCGAGTTTTCTCATTTTAACATATCTAATTATAAACAATTGAAAATAAATTGTTTCAGTCATAAGTGCTTAGCCTTTTTCAAAAAAATAAATAAATAAATCTGATCATCAAAACGGCGTCGGTGTGACCGATCGCCAATCCGAGAAAGTAGAAAGTTTACATCTGAAAAATTGATACATCGCAGTTTATTTGAAGCATCAATCCATGTTGAACATTCCTGGAACAAGAAGGTCCATATTAATTTCAGAAATACCTCCAACTTCTTTTGTCTTTTAAATTAGCTAGGATTATAACGATCAAAATTCATCTTAAAGTGATGGCAACAGACTGAATAACAACATTTCATATGGCTGCCCCTCGTAGTCTTGGATGCCAGAAGTTAGATTTTGACGTCCATTGACCACGTCTGCAAAATACAACAATACAAATAGCTGATGATATTAATCAGAGTTCAAAGTGGATCGCGATTACGGATTTTTATTTTAAGTTGGATCCCACGCGCAGTCCAAACAGCGTTATCAAGAACAGTTCCGTCAATCGTATTGTTCATAGAATTCATAGAAAAAATGTTCAAGTAGGCCTACATTAAAAAAAAAACGTACTTATGATATTCGGCCTGATTGTGTTAAAGAATCTGATAACAGTATTACGCAGTAACATATTGCACAATCTTTTGTTGTAAGATTGTAATTTTAGCTCAGCTGCAGCGCCGCCGAGTACCAAAAAACTTCTTCCGTATCACTGTCACAGCTGATGCTTATGTTCTCCCCAGGATTAACTGGTGTCACATTCACGTTAAACAATAAACAGACAAACCCGGAGATTGAAAATTCATTAATCATATAGCCTATATCTATTTTCCCGAACAACGATAACGATGCCTCGACTTACCCAAGCAGATGTAGCCCATAAATCTTGCCTTTGTCATTATCATGGTTGAACAGTTTAACAAAACAGTTATTCTCTTGCTTTATGCTCAGCAAACAGCGGACCCCATACAGGCAAACCACACAAACCATGGTAAACGGTAACCTTATTGTTAAAAACAGTAAACAAAAGACCACTGTCTAAAAACACATCCGTTTTGGTTATGAACGCGGTTATCGATGATGATTTTTCCATCTGCCCCCCCTTTCCCTCAGCCGATAGATAAACAGGAAAAAATATATAGACACTTCAGCTTGTGGTTTGAAATCAACTGAAACCCAATACTGTATGGCACTGCACAGCAGCTGTGCGTGCTTTGCTCATTTTAATCATTTAAATGTCTGAAATATCTGTGAAGCCAGATAACAGCATTTAAAGTGAGACTGTTTTAAATGTTATGTGTCGAAAAAGGGGAACAGAGAGGAGAACACAATTATCAAGGTGTGTGGATAAGCAGGTCTTTAAAGGACCACCGAACCGCCATTGCGCCTCGGATGCCATCAGCATTACTTTATTGATTAACTGCAATGCAAGTCATATACCGATAAAACCGGTTCCTGAACTCAAAACGTGCGTCTTATCATTTCTGTAATTTTTCACCTTTAGCTCCACATTTTATTACCGGTTTTATGCCGGTGAAGATTTTGGGCCCCATGAAAGAATATTATATTGAACCTCCCATCACAAGCTCAATCGGATTATGTTCCATATTATTTAAGGCATTAGACACTCAGGGGGCCCTTGGAATCGTCCTATAACCCCGCTTTACGGGGCCCCTGTGCTGCTCTAAATATGCGGGCATCGGGGAGAGGAATCCAAAAACTGGAAGGCAATATGGAGAAAAGAATAATGTATTTTTTAAATGATGCGATGCGATTTAACAAATCCAATAAGTGACACTCCACTGTTAAGGCATATTTCGCAATTTATTTGTACTGGTAAATAATTACAGTAGTAGCTGGTAAACTTTATTTCACTTAACCGACCAATTATCTGAGCGTAATGACCTTGACGGCAGTTTCACCTATAAACAGCTTTTCAGTATGCTCATGTCATGTGACCAGTGTGGAAAATGTGACTGTAGTCACCCTAAATTAAGAAACGAGGTGTGCAGCTTTGGCGACAATTCATGCACCACTAATGAGGGAGGGATTTCGATTTGTTTTGGTGTGGTGGGTGGAAATGCAGCATTTGTTTTGCGCCCACCGCTTGAATGCCGTACGCAGCGCTGTCATTTAAAAACAACCATCACAGCCCTGTTCCTAACCTGTATTTATGCAGAAGGGCTGCGCTGGCCTCTACGAAGATGGTGTCACAAGGAGGACAGTGCGACTGGAGAATGAAGATGGAGCAGAGGGACTATAGGGAGTGACTTTCTCAAGGGCGGTAGATGACCATGCAGGTGATATCTGTCAAACACCGAATAGCTCCTATGCAAAACAAAGAGACACTGCGGCCACAAGTTCAAAATAATAAGAAGAGGCGGAAGGTTCCCAAGTCACCCCCAGAGTGCGTGGAAAGTCACCCACCCCACGAGCCCAGATCAAAATGAAATTGCTGTTCTTCTGTTTTTGATTGGATTTCACGTCCTCCAGTTTGTGAAATGAAATCAGACTGCTTAACTTGTTATAAACTTTATTTATTAAATATAAATTTTATTTGATTTTGCCTTATCAGTAATAATCTATACAACGGAATAACAATGTCCACATAGAAACTGTACAATGAGGGCTTTATTGAGCAGCTGAGGTCAACTCATGAAGTTGGAAGTCTAAGGTCGCTGTATGTCGTTATTTCACGGCTTGATGCATTCTGTCTCTTCGGAAGCTGAATTACACTGTACTGTAAAACAAAATCAGCGATACAGACTTTGATTACTTAACATTACCGTCTAAATAAGTGTACGACCTACACGCGAAAACACAATGAGACCTTCAAAGAACTTAATCTTACGCGCAATTTCCCGGATTTATTTTAAAGTTAAGTGGCTAAACTTGACTTACAAATGAGCCTATACAAAATACAAATACAAAACACTGAATCATATTAATGTCTGCTAACCTGAAAATCTGACTTAAAATGTCAGAAAGATTTTGCATCACGCAAATGCTATGGAATGGGATATGATTGAGATAAAGAAATGTTGCTCCTTAATTTACAAACGCGTTTTTGTGACTGTTTCAGTGCTTGAAGTGGGCCGGAACGCAGCGGAACGCAGTTCCGGAACTTCTGTATTTTCCGCTACTTTTTTCTGCGTTCTGGTACTTACTGAAACTGATCCGACGCAGCGACAGTGGCCCGAGAATAGACAATATCACAAGACCGATAAAAGACTACATGTTGTTTTAATGGTTTTTCAGTATTCCATTTGTGAATTAGAAAAAAGTAGCCTATGCCTATAGGTTATTGCTTGGAAGAATGATTAAATTGAAATAGTTTTTGAACCAACACATCCTAAAGACTTGATTGTTTTTTTCACCGCACAAATGTCAAATGTCGCGGAAAATTAGAATAACTGCACTTATTTTTTCCCACTTCAAGCACTGGACTGTTTGATAGCTAAATCATTCTGATTTGAGTATAGGAAACGAAAACCGATTACCGTTACGTCCTCCTGAGGGGCTTCCGACTCCATTGCAGGTTTGCAGTTAAGAGCAGTGCAGAGTTTCTTTATCAAAACTAGAATAAAAAAGAAACACTTGTGGTTTATTTTAGTTATCTTCTAATCGCTTTTCCTGGTCAGTTTCCAGCTTTATTTACTTAGGTATTAATCAGCCTATAATGTTATACATCTGTGAAATGTTTTCATCATGTTAAATGTTAAAGACTCCTGAAAATGGAGGTAAACGTTAACTTTCGAAATACTCCAGAATTATTTAACTTACCCAGGATTATAACGATCAAAATGAAATTTAGAACAATGGTAACGATAAGGAGTGAATTTTGAAAAATTCCGCATCTCTGCTCCTTTTGGGTATCAGAAGTCAGATTTTGACGTCCAGTGACCACGTCTGCAAAATATAACAACGTTCTGATTTTTTAAGTAGCCGAAGAAGTTGTAAATGTGTTTTCTCCATCATTATTAATGTTGAACTTGCAAATGTGAGTCGACTGACAGCATAAGAGGATCGTGGTTTTAATTAGAATACAGAATTCGGGTTTGTTTTGTAATGTTTTCGCAAGGTTCTTGTAGGTTTACCAGCAGAAAACATCGTAAGCGCTGTAACGAAATATCGTTGAGTCTTAAGATATTTATGAAGAATAATGTAAGTTCACTTTCTTCAGAATATCGTCAAAGAATGTATTACATTAAAAAAAATAAAACATAAAAAGGGCACCTGTGATATTCAGTCTGGTTCCATTGAAGAAATCTGTAATATCTTTTCTAGAAGATGTAGCTAACAATATAAAATATACACACATATATAAATACACATACAGATATAAAATATAAATACGCAAATCGAAACGGACGGTGCAGCGTAATGTGGCTGGTGCTTATTAATCCTGTACAGAATATATGTGCAAATGTAGGCATTGCAAAGCGCGGAGTGCAGTGTGCTGCATTCAGAATGGGCGAGATACAGGACTAAAGGATGAACTTCCAAATACGACGGCACCTTCATTCAAAGCAGATGGTTAAATTACGGATTTTACTTTTACCTTGTAGTCGCGATGCTGTTTTACAATAATTAAAACTATATGGACTTCAGTCCTTCTGATTAATTAAACCATTAATCAAAACCATTTAACAAAACATCATTTATCAAGAACAATTAATGTGAATCAATTTAATGCAGAACGACTCCAAAGAAAAAAATCTTACCTGTGACATTCAGTCTGCTTCCGTTAAAGAATCTGAAGACACCATCGCGAAGCTCCGCACAGTAATATGTTGCGCAATCGTCTTTTGTAAAATTATGTATAAACAGTTTGTTGCCGGCTTGTAAGTCATACTTGCTCTGCGATCCAGTATCATAGTAAAACGGAATAGATGCAGCACCGCCGAATGAGCGCAGTATCGGCGCCGGTGGGCGTCCTGAGCTCTGCAGGTACCAATAAACTTGTTCCATATCATTGCCACAGCCGATGCTTATGTTCTCCCCAGGATTAACTAGTGTCACATTCAAACTTTGGCTGGTCAAACAACAAACAGATAAACCTGGAGAAAGAAAAATAATTTTCCATATAGATCAATTTTCCCCGTACAAACAATAGACATGAATGGCGGTACACTGACTTACCCAAACACAGATGAGTGATTTTTGCCATTGTCGTGCTCATGGCTGATCCTTTCCCTATTTTTATGGTCTGAAAATAGTAGACGTGTATCCAACTGAATTCTCAGCTATACATGCAGGCAAACCACACAAACCATGAAAACGGCAATTTATCACAAATAACAAATAAAGCAGCTAGCCAATGCCCAGCTATATTTTGTAATTCATTTAGGCAGGATAATAAGTATCAGGTCATATGGTGATGTTCTGTTTAAATGACAACGGGCTATTGCGGAAAAACGCTGATTGCAATATGAGGAAAGACTTGAAGATCATTTTCACACCAAGAAAGGGGGAGGAGTTACTATAACGACATTGTAAATGTTGTTAAGCAGTGGAAAAGAATTCTGCTGAAGACATAATTTTATGGTCTGCAAATGGTAGATGTGTCTTCAACTGAATTCTCAGCTACATACAGGCAAACTACACACGCCAAGTAAACAGCAGTTTAACAGAGGCCTACGTAAAAAGCTAGTCAGTGTCCAATTACTCAGAGCACACACAGCAAAAGACTCATTGCCTGCAAATGCAGAAGCGAACGCCACAGGAAATCCTTTCTACCTGTGGCAATAAGACTGTATAACTCTTCCCCTGTCTGTAGGTGATTTTTTCACCTTTCTCGTCTTTTTCAGCATTTATGTCATTAGGTTCTCATTCGGATTGTACAATATTACTCATCCGCGTTTTATTTACTCACCTGTATGCTACTGAATGTTTGTTTTCATCCCCTCATCTCATTTTATTCATGACACAAACACTATGCCACTTTTCATAACCACTTGCACTAATTATCTGTTATTTTATTATACCTGTTATAGTTATTTGTTACTTTCTTAGATTTATTTTGTTATTCTGTTTTGCACTATTACTACTGTTCTTTTTAAGCTCTTTATTGTGTCATCTTTATTCCTCTTGTTGCACTGAGCATGTTTAAGAGGAAATAATTTCCCTCAGGATAAATAAAGTTCTTCTTATCTTATCTTATCTTATCTTATCTTATCTTATCTTATTATGTTTTGCAATTGATTTATGCAGGACAATAAATATCATGCAGATAATGTTAGCAAAATTAGTTTGAAGTTGGTTTCAGCCATGAATAACTTCGTCATGTGCTGTTCACATACCTACTGTAATTACATTGGCTATTTAGTTAAAATGAAGATCGCAGTTTGAGGAAAGAGCGGCTTAGCCTTGATCATTTTCACACCAAGAAAACACGCATCTCGCTCACCATGTGTATTGTACGTATCTAATGCACACATGACTTTCTATTTTATCTACCTATAGGGTACCGACAAACCGATTATGCAAAGGTGCAAAGTGCATAGACGTGATACACAGAACACAGTTAAAGTCTTACTGAAATTAACTGGAGTTAGATGTTGTAGCTGATGCTGCGTTACTGTGGGCCACGCGATATGCGGAAGCTACGGGGGATCCGTGTGCGTCGCGGCCGCTTACAGAGTTGATTTTCATTTCGGCGTCCCTGTTAATAGATTACAGCGGCCGAACTGCCCGCGTGAAACGCGCGGTTCACGCCTTGGCAGTGGCGCCTCATCTGGAGAGTCGGAGTTTTTCCACACGTGGGGTAAGATAAGCTATTCTCAGGAAAAATAGACATTTAAAAGATGTTTCTGACAGCCATGCAGAAATCATATCAGCAACATCACGCAAGTCCCACTTTTCATTATAGTTGAAATGTCTAGACCATGGGCGTCGCCGCCATTAAATCTGAGGGTGACGTGCCCCCCTCACATTTCATAATTATTCGTTTGGACCCCCCCCCACACCCCATTTAACATACAATATTAGTTTTATGCCAGTGTGTCTCCCCCCCACACACACATTCAGAATGCTTCTGCCGCCCCTGGTCTAGACTATACAATGGACATGAAACAATATACATATTAATTATTTTATCCATTGTGGCAGTTGCATGTTACTATAGGAGTAAGTGCAGACTGTACTACATGTCAGAGCGGAAACCCAGTGCAGGCTGTAATTAGATTATGTCGATAGTGAAGCGCGGTAGCTTTCTGCTGCGGTCTCTCGCTCTGAACGAGGGTATACAAAAATCACAAAACAAACACAGGGATTGCTGTATATTATTTATATTATTATTGCTATTATTATTATTATTAGCTATTATTACTACAATTAAGCACACGCTTCTCAAACCTTGTCTAAATATATATTACATTTATAATCGACTGAAATACTATAGTCATTTTGTTACTGATGGCTATTATCAAAGGTAAACTCAGTGTAGGAAGATAGGACAGCTGCAGCAGAAGCGCGGGCGGTGTGGAGACCCGCGCGGAAACGCGCCGCTGCAGCTCCGCGAGACACACGCCACGCGGCCGGTGTGTTCCGGGCTGGCAGTGGTGGTGTTTAAATGAGGCGTGGCTCGGAGCACTGATGGTGCGTTGCTGTTTTTACCCCTGGGACACACTGAGGCTTCTCTTGGCATAAATACCATCTCGCTGTCTGTTGATACATACGCACACAGACTACCCTCACTCATGTGGATGGAAAGAGGGGGAATTATGTGAGAATGCTGTTTATAGACCACAGCTCAGCATTCAGTACCATAGTCCCCCTCAGACTGTTCACCAAGCTGAGGGATCTGGGACTGAGTGACCAGCTGAGCAGATGGATTCTGGATTTCCTTACAGGAAGACCCCAGGTGGTGAGAGTAGGCAACTGTGTAACAGCGCAATCACCCCCAACACGGGAGCTCCACAAGGCTGCGTCTCGAGTCCACTGCTGTACACCCTCTACACCTACGACTGTGTATCCAGCACAATCACCCCCAACACAGGAGCTCCGCAAGGCTGTGTCTCGAGTCCACTGCTGTACACCCTCAACACCTACGACTGTGTATCCAGCACAATCACCCTCAACACAGGAGCTCCGCAAGGCTGTGTCTCGAGTCCACCGCTGTACACCCTCAACACTTAGGGCTGTGTAGCCGCACTCAGCTCAGATTCCTATGTGAAATTTGCTGACGACACAGTAGTGCTCGGCCTCATCTCCAACGATGACGAGTCGGCCTACTTGAAGGAAGTGGAGAACCTGGAAAGGTGGTGCCAGCATAACAGTCTCCAGCTGAACGTCAGCAAAACAAAGGAGCTGATTGTGGCCTACAGGAGGCAGCAGGGCTCTTACACACCTGTGCACATCAATGGTGCTACGGTGGAGAGGGTGAGCACCTTCAGATACCTCCTACACCTACAGGAGGACCTCACCTGGTCCACACACACACGTGCTCTGGTCAGCAAGGCGAGGCAGCAGCTCTACCATCTGAGGCAGCTGAGGAGGTTTAAGGTCTCTCCTGCTGTCCTTAAGGCCTTCTACTCAGCTGCCGTAGAGAACATCCTGACCATGAGCATCACATCGTGGTTGGGGAACTGCTCTGCCCAGGACCGGAAAGCCCTGCAGAGGGTAGTTAGAGCAGCTGAGCGCTGCACCAGGTCTGCCTTGGCCTCCCTACAAGACATCTACACCAGCTGCTGTAGGACCAGAGCAACACAAATCTCCAAGGACCCATCCCTCCCCAATAACTCTCTGTTTTGCCTGCTGAATTCGGGCAAACGCTTCCACAGCCTTATGACCAGAACGGGAAGGTCAAGGAGGAGCTTTTTCTTCAGGTCAAATGCTCCTAAACCAGGACAAGGCTCAGTGCCCCTAGGTCTTCACTGTTTACATTCAGTTCAGTTCATACTGTCCAAATTGTCGGTACATTTCTCAGGTCTCTTGCCCATTGAACTTACATTGCACTGCACAGTCACTTTTACCTTATTACGTATAGATTATGTGCAGCTGAACATATTTCATATATATTTTATTATTCTCTATCATGCACAGCTGCTCGGAGTGACCAGGGTTACATTTCACTACATGTTGTATGTGTACAACTGTGTACATGACAAATAAACCTCTTGAACTCTAAAAAAAAAAAAAAAAGTGAAGTTGATTTTTTTATGTGGTTTTGGACTGACTGCTGAATGTAATGATAAAACAAAATGGGATCTTTAGAGAAAACTTCATTCAGTGGAATGTCTCTGCAAGCTGAATAAAAAATAAGTAAAATCAATCTGATTATATTTCCTGTCACACACATTACACTGCTTTCACTTTTTCGATGCTGCATGCAGTCATGTTCACATGTTAAACTGCATGCAGTCATGTTCCTCCTGCATTTGCTGTGTGTTAGATGCCTCTAGCAATGACAGTGAAGACAGCTGCTTTCACACTGCCCTAATTTTAGGTTACAATCTGTCCCGATATTCAACAACCTTAATAAACAACTCCCTTTCGGTAATTATTGAGCACCTGGGAGTTTTACTTGCACAAAAATGTTCTCAGGGCAGAAGGAACAATGATTGGATCAGAAAGATAACCAATCACATTGTAGAGGAGGTGGGTCCATGCAACTGGAGGAGATGGGACCAAGGCATCTGATTGGTTATCTTTTAATCAATTGGCAATCAATTATTGCCATTTGCCAAAAAGCGATGTTTATCTTAAGTTTGATAGTTTAAACAATGGATTCCTCTACCTTGTGAAAAATGGTTGACAGACTTTGCTGCATATCAGGTCTTTGTGCGGAAGGAGAGAGTCGGACTCCACAGGGACAGCAGTGCCACCAAAAAGGACAGGGGTGACAGACACTGAAGGTGGAGTGGCAGATGCTCAGTACGTATAAGCTGATATCTCCAGAGCTCAGATACGCTTCTGCACCAAAAGGTGACATTATTGTCACATGTTCATAGGACAAACCTTGGACAGAAAATCCCCCCCCAACCGAGTTCACACCAAAATAAAACATTGTAGTTAAAGGGACATCTCATCTGCTCTTGTCTGAATGCTACATGCTGTATGTTTGAAATAAAACATAGATGAGTGCTTTATTTTTATAGGTTTTAATTGTTTGTTTATTTAAAATCCATTTTCTGCAGGATTTGGCTCAGAGTGAAATTGAACAACAGTATAGAAAAGGCAAATTCGGAATGAAGACGAAGGAATAGAAGATGAACCTGAAATATCAGTGAGATAAGAGAGAAAAAAACACTTAAAATCACCCTTTTCAGCACCCTGCTTGCAGGGATCTACACAAAAGGTACATTTTGTTTTGCTGTTGTAGATCTTTTAGTACCCAAACCACAAATGCATCTTCTTTAATAATGGCAGTTTGCTGAGACTGGAACCAGAAGTTCGGTGTAAATGCTTGCTGACATTTCTGTTTCACTGTACTGGAGAAGAAAGACAACAATACATGAAAGACTGAAACAATCACAAAGTCAGCGCACTATAACCACAAATGACGAGATAATGAGAACTTCAGTGCACATAAATATACATGCATCTTGGTTTATCTGAAAGCATGTGTCTTTCAATCATTACAAATCACTCAGCCACATTACTGATTTTATATATACAAACTGTAATGCAGCCTTAATGTTTCCAATAGGCAATGTGACATACAAGTACTGTGGAGCAAGATACTGCATAGAGGATTAAATTACTCTTTAATGTTCAATCATGGTCAAAATCAGAGTAATATCATCATTTCATTTCAAATTTAGAAATAGAAAGTAGATTACCGTCAGGCCTAAGTGTTTCCGAGGTTCTTCCAATGTCTTGGCAGGTCTGCATTTATTAGATCTCTTCAGCATGTCTGCGAATACTAATATGGTAAAAGTATGTATAAAATAAATATTTATCAAAGATGAACACAGAAAAATAAAATTAATTAAAAAATTAAACGTGGTGTTACTCCGTAACCGATTTTGGTCAGTTTAATGGGCCTATATCTACTTGTATAACATACAGTAAATCGTTTCACTCAAACGGGGCTGTTTTTAAGGGTAAACTTATCAGCATTTATCATGTTTACATTTGAATGCAGGATACAACTCAGTTTATTACAGGATAGATTCATTTGAGGCGTGATCCATCCACCCATCTATCCATGCATCATGTTAAACGTTCCCGAAATAGTAAACTAAACGTTTCTTTATGAAATACGTCCAACTTACCTAAGATTATAATCACCAAAATGAGACGTAAAATAATGGTAGCAATTAAGAATGAATGGCATGTAGTCCAAGTAATTATGCATCGCCGCTCCACCGGAGTACTAGTCGTCAGATTTTGAAGTCCAGTGACCACGTCTGCAAAAATATAACAACTTTAGGATTTTTCAGGTTTCAAGTAGCCGAAGAAGTTGTAAACGTGTTTTCTTCATCATTATAAATGTTGATCTTGCAAATGTGAATCGCTGACAGCACAAGAGGATCGTGGTTTTAATTCGGAACCAGAATACGGGTTTGTTATGAAACGTTTTCGTAAGGTTGTTGTAGGTTTACCCACAGCAAACATCATAAACACGGTAACAAAATTCGAATTGACCCATAAGATATTTATCAGGAGTAAGGTAAATTCGCTTTCTTCATGATATCGCCAAAGAATTTATTACATAACCAAAAAAAAAGGGCACCTGTAACATTCAGTCTGGTTCCGCTGAAGAATTCTGTAATATCTTTGTTAAATACAACAGGAGAAGTGGCTAACAATGTAATACATACACATACAAATATAAAACATAAATACGAAAATCGAAACGGAAGGTGCAGCGCAATGTGGCTGGTGCTTATTAATCCTGTACAAAATATATGTTCAAATGTAGGCTTTGCAAAGCGCGGAGTGCAGTGTGCTGCATTCAGAA